GCTGAAGGGAGGGGCAGGGAACAGGAAAAAAAGAAAAATCAAGTTATATCATGTACAGGTACAAACTCCCTGCAATGACCATGATCATTGTGTATACCTGAAATGTACCAATAAACTTAATCTAAAAAAAAAGAAATGGAACCCTGAAAAGAAAAGAAAATAATGATGGAAGCCAGGCATGGTGGCGCACGCTTATAACCCCAGCACTTAGGAGGCTGAGGCAGGAGGGTCACCTTGCATTTGAGGCCACGCACTCTGCTCCCTGAGCCTCAGTTTCCTTCCCCGGAAGATACGGCTGTCCCCAGGCCCAGCTGCCTTCCCAGGCGGCTCTGGGGATGCTGCCAGACTACACCGAAGAGCTGGGGCCCCTTGGAAACTTCCCAGGGTGCTCTTCAAGCATGCATCCTGTGCTGGGCTGGGAATAGTTGGGCATTTTACAGGGAATCACACAGCTAGAGGGCCGTGCGGCCTGGTGGGCGGGGGTCGAGGCCTCGCAGCTCCACAGCCTGGCTGTGCAACCTGAGGGAAGTCACTCAGCCTCTCTGATCCTGTGTCCTGAGCTGCAGAACGGGGAGCAGTAACAGAGCCTCGTGTTACCATGGAGACTGAATGAGTGAGTGAGGGGTACAGTGAGCAGGTGCCATGTAGCAAGAGCTAGGCATCATATATCACCGAGTCTCTCGTGACCTGCAAGACTGGACCTGCTACTATCCCAGCCGTGTGGGGGACGAAACTGAGGCTCAGAGTGGCAGACAGGCAGCCCAAGGCCACCCAGCTGGGATACAGTGTTTATGGAGCCCAGCTGGTCTGGCCGAGTGGGGCTCTGGCTGTGTTTTCTCTGCTCAGAGACAGCCAGGAGGCGCTAGGATGTCCCCCAGCATTGAGCTGGTCTTGTCTGCACCTGCCGACCCCAGGACACCAGCTTCCCCAGGTGGTGTAGGAGTCAAGGAAATCAGGAGGGACTTAGCCCTACACAACGGGATTGGCCCCAGGGCCTTTGCATGACCCCACCCCCACTCTCCCACTGCTCCCCAGGGGCTCAGTGGCTCCCTCCCACCCTCGTGTCCTTGATGAAGCAGGCCCCTGGCCAACTCTGGCTCTCCTCCCCATGTACAGAATTTTTTCTGTATAACTTGTCAGTTTTTGAATGAGTTAGGGTTTCCCAAAGATACAGGGAGGGAGGATGGGTTGGTGGATAGATAGATGACAGGTAGATAGACAGACAGACCAGGAGGTTTCTGCTAAGGAACCGGCTCGTGCTGTCACACACAGGGCCTGGAAGTCTGGAGTGGAGTTTGCAGTCCCCAGCCGAGGCTGAGCGGTGCTGATGACATGGTTTGGCCTGGGGCTGAGGGCCTGGACAGCTCACGGTGTCTGCTTTGCTTCCTTCTCTCTTCTAATAAGCATGTGAACTCCATAGCGATGAGGGCCTCGTGTGCCGTGCCCCCGGCACCACAAAGAGCACACACAGAGTCGGTACTAACAAAGTGCTTGTTGAGTGAATGAGTGAGTGGAGAGAGGCTTTGCGGTGAACGCGTCAGCCAGCGTCCAAGATGGCCCTGTGGCTGCTATGGCCCCTGCCTTGTGCTCTGGTTGGTCACTCACTCTGAGGGACATCAGCCCCACACCACGAGGACACTCAGGTGGCCCTGGGCAGGTCCCCTGGGCAAGTCCTCACCCCGGCAGCATCTGTGCCCCCAAGCTGGGAGCCCTGGCAGCTGTTAAGCTCCGGCCCATTGCATAGAGGGGAAATTGAGGCCCTAGCATCCACGCCCAGGAAGCGCAGGTGTAGGATTCAAGTCAGTCTGCGGGAGGCCGGGGGCCGGGGGTGGGCACAGGGACACCATTTGGAAGGACAGGCCCCAGCCTTTTGGAGGCGTCCAACTCACAGAGCCCTTCCCACGCCATCTCTGCTCCCCCCGCGCTGCACAGGGACCCAGGATTCTGAGGGTGCAGCATCCCCATCTTCTCCAGGGGTGTGACTGGACTCCCAGCCTCCCTCGGCAGTGGGCGTGGACACGTGACCAAGTTCCAGCCGGCACGCAGGGCCAGGGGTCACGGGGCTTGGCCTCCAGGAGCACTTCCTGGACTTCCTGTGGATGTGGGGATGGAGAGGCTCCCTGGGTAGCTGCCAAACACAGGGGCTATTTGTTACACAGCATCT